ACACGGATCCCACACGGATCCCATCCCACACTCCCCCTGACCTTGAGCAGGTTGTTCTCGTTCTTGAGGTGTTTCAGGGACAGCTGCAGGGCGTCGATCTGCTGCAGCAGGAGGGGTGAGTCCTTCACCTGGACCGGCCCGGAGCCGCCTCCCGGCACCTGCCCGGCACCGACACCTGCCGAGGGACACCGGTGTCAGCGCTGCCAGCCCCAGGGGACACCCACATCAGTGCTGCCAGCCCCAGGGGACACCGGTGTCAGTGCTGCCAGCCCCCAGGGGACACCCACATCAGTGCTGCCAGCCCCCAGGGGACACCGGTGTCAGCGCTGCCAGCCCTCAGGGGACATGGGGACACAGGGACATGGGGATATGGGGACACGGGGATATGGGGACACGGGGATATGGGGACGCAGGGACATGGGGACACGGGGACACAGGGACATGGGAACACAGGGACATTGGGATATGGGGACACAGGGACACGGGGACACAGGAACACAGGGACATGGAGATACAGGGATATGGGGACATGGGAACACGGGGACACAGGGACATGGGGATACAGGGATATACAGGGATATGGGGACACGGGGATATGGGAACACAGAGACACAGGGACAGGGGGACATGGGGACATGGGGACACAGGGACATGGGGACACAGGGACATGGGGACACAGCGCGCTGGCACCAACACCTGGCACCTCCCCGGGGCTCCCAGCAGCTCCCAGTGCCCCTTCCCAAGGCTCTCCAGGTCACCCCAATGCACATCCAGCACAGCTCCGTGCTCATCCCTCCCTCCCCAGGCTGCGGGTGTGCTGGGTTTGGTTTCCCCGCCATGCTCCGGGGGCTGCATGCAGGGTGTCCGTACCTCGCTGCTGTTCCTCTGCAGCACAGGGAGAGAGGCCGGGAGAGACAAGAGAAATCGGGATTAAAGCCCCGGATTGGGCGGGAGAGGAGCCATGGCTGGAGCAGCTCCGGGACCCCAGGGCCACATCTGGGACTGAGCCCATTCCCAGCAGCTGGGAGCGAGCCAGGCAGGGCCCCTGGGGCTGCTCCTTTGGCAGCACAACATCCCTGGGAGCCAGGACTGGGAACAGCGAGAGGCTGTGGCTCTGTGAGAGCCAGCAGCTGCCGTGGGAGCACCATCCCCAAACTGCCATCCCACAGCACCCCTGGAGCTCCTGGTGAGCTGCCCCCGCTCACCTCCGGCGATGCCGGACACGATGGAGGCCACGCCCGAGGCCGGGGACCCCCGCAGCCCCTCGATCGTCCGCTTGGACTGGTTGTTCAGGCGCTGCTTCAGCTCCACCTTCTCCGACTCCAGCTGGTCGATGTCAGCCTGGAGAGCGTCCATGGTCTCCTCAAACTCCCTGGGAAGAGCACACGGAGGGAGGGGTGTGTGAGGATCCCTTAGCCTGTCCCTCCAGCCCTTGTCTCCAGCTCTCCTGGAGCCCCTGCAGGGACTCTCAGCATTCCCTGGAATTTTCCCTTCTCCAGGGGAACATTCCCAGCTCTCCCAGCCTGGCTCCAGCTCTTGGAGCAGCTCCCTGGCTTCCTCCGGATGAGCTCCCCCAGCTTCACACCCCCAGCCCCGTTCCAAACTTACTTCTCCTTCTTTTTGAGCAGCGTCTGGGTCTCGTCCAGCTTGGTCTGGATCTTCTCCACGCGGTCATCCGCATCCTTGGAGGCGCTGTCCAGCTTCTTCTCCAGGAGGCTGAGCCGCACGTTGGCCTCGCTGAGCTCCTCGCCCTGCAGCGGCAGGGAGGGAAGCAGGGAACTGGGAGAGCCCCCCAAATCACCAGCACCCGCGGCTGGAGCCCAAAACAGCTCCCAGCGCCCGCCCTCAGCACCCCACAACACGGCAGGGGCGAGGTCTGGGCGGCAGCACCCCCCTGCCCACGGGAAAGCATCCCCGGGAGATGTGGATGGGGCTTGGGATCGGCATCTCCGCAGGCAGGGAGGCACCGGGAGCGTGGGGGGAATCCCACAGCTGGCAGGAAGGTGGGGATGGGTGGGGGACAGGATGGGATGGGTGAGGAAGAGGCTGGGATGGGTGAGGAAGAGGCTGGGAGTGATGAGGAGGCAGGGATTGATAAGGAAGAGGCAGGGATTGATGAAAAACAGGCAGAGATTGATGAGGAAGAGGCTGGGGTTGATGAAGGACAGGCAGGGATCGATGAGGAAGAGACTGGGATTGATGAGGAGGAGGCTGGGATTGATGAAGGACAGGCAGGAATCGATGAGAAACAGGGAGGAATCGGTGAGGAAGAGGCTGGGATTGATGAAGGACAGGCAGGGATTGATGAGGAAGAGGCTGGGGTTGATGAAGAACAGGCAGGGATTGATGAGGAAGAGGCTGGGGTTGATGAAGGACAGGCAGGGATTGATGAAGGACAGGCAGGGATTGATGAGGAAGAGGCAGGGATGGGTGAGGAAGAGGCAGGGATTGATGAGAAGGAGGCAGGGATGGGTGAGGGACCAGCAGGGATGGGTGAGGAGGAGGCAGGAGAGCAGGGCTCAGCGAGGAACACCTCACCTTGATCTTGAGGGACTTCTTCAGCTCCTTAATGACCGTCTCCCTGTCCTCCAGCTTCAGCCCCAGCCCCTCGGCATCCGTGATCTCCGCCCGGAGCGCGGCCGCCCGGAGCTCCGCCGGCGGCGTGGGCTGCACCACAGGGACAGGCGGGATTTCAGGAGCAATCCCAGCCACCACAGCTCCCCAGATCTCCCCAAACCTCCCCAAACCCCTGTCCTGGTCACCCCCAGAGCCCAGCCCACCTTGCTCTGCGGGCGGTCGGCGTCGTACTCGCCCTCCTGCATGGCCGTGGCCATCTTGTTCATGGTGGCCATGAGGATGCTGCAGGACTGGCGCAGGCACTCGTAGGGATTGATGCCCTGGGAGCCGTAAATCTGGCAAGGAGGGCAAGGACGTGGGTGGTGGCTCTGGGCCGGGCCCACCCACCCACATCACACAACTGGAGATTCCTTCTGACGGTGAAAATGTCACAGAGATGGTGAAAATGTTCTTTTTGATGGTTAAAATGTTCCTGTCTGATGGTGAAAATGTTGTTCTGATGGCTAAAATGTCCCTTTGATGGTTAAAATGTTCTTTTGACGGTTAAAATGTCCCTGTGATGGTTGAAATGTCCCTGTGATGGTGAAAATGTCCCTCTCTGATGGTTAAAATGTCCCAGAGTTGGTTAAAATGTTCCTGTGATGGTTGAAATGTCCCTCTCTGATGGTTAAAATGTTCCTGTGATGGTGAAAATGTCCCAGAGATGGTTAAAATGTCCCTGTGATGGTTAAGGATGTCCCTGTGACGGTTAAAATGTCCCTGTGATGGTTGAAATGTCCCAGAGATGGTTAAAATGTCCTAGAGATGGTTAAAATGTCCCTCTCTGATGGTTAAAATGTTCTTTTGATGGTTAAAATGTCCCTATGATGGTTAAAATGTCCCTATGATGGTTAAAATGTCCCTCTCTGATGGTTAAGGATGTCCCTCTCTGACAGTTAAAATGTCCCTGTGATGGTTGAAATGTTCCAGAGATGGTTAAAATGTCCCAGAGATGGTTAAAATGAACCTGTGATGGTTAAAATGTCCCTCTCTGATGGTTAAAATGTCCCTGTGATTGTTAAGGATGTCCCTCTGATATTCAAGAATCACCCTTAAAATCCACACCCGACACAAAACCTTCACTTCCACCAGCGAGTCCAACCAAGAAAATGCAGAATGCTCCACACACACCAACCCGAGCAGCAGCAAACGGGGCTGGATGCTGAGCACAGGGCCCAGCCCTTGTCCTTCTCCAGTGACACCCGGGACACCACACCCACCGTGCCCAGGGAAAGCTGGAAAGGCTCTGCAGGGCTCAGGGGATCAGCCTGGGGAAAACCATCCCTCTCTCTGCAGGAATTCCCCACGATCATTCTCCGCTGTGGGAATTGTGAGGGGACGTCCCACCACAGCTGGAAAAACCCCAGCAGAGACCACGGAGGAGCCGCAGGGACAGCGCACGTGGCACTCCCTGGGCTGGGAACGGCGGGAATGTGATGGTGTTCCAGCTGGGAACGGCTGGAGTGTGATGGTGTTCCAGCTGGGAACAGCCTGAGTGTGATGGTGTTCCAGCTGGGAACAGCTGGAGTGTGATGGTGTTCCAGCTGGGAACAGTGGGAGTGTGATGGTGTTCCAGCTGGGAACAGCCCGAGTGTGATGGTGTTCCAGCTGGGAACAGTGGGAGTGTGATGGTGTTCCAGCTGGGAACGGCCCGAGTGTGATGGTGTTCCAGCTGGGAACAGTGGGAGTGTGATGGTGTTCCAGCTGGGAACAGCCCGAGTGTGATGGTGTTCCAGCTGGGAACAGTGGGAATGGAAAGGGAAGGGGAAAGGGGAAAGGGGAAAGGAAAGAGGAAAGGAAAGGAAAGAGGAAAGGAGAGAGGGGAGAGGAGAGGAGAGGAG